GTATACCTTGATATAATCGGCATGACCTGGACAGTCTACATGTCCATAATGTCTGCAGTCTGTTTGATATTCAACATGTGCTGTATTGATTGTTATTCCACGGGCTTTCTCCTCTGGAGCGTTGTCAATATCAGCATATGATTTGTAGTTTGCTGCTCCTCCTTCAGCCAAAACTGGAAATAACACAAGTTGAAGGACATTAGCATTAGTTAACACACTTCGAGTTGTTTTAAATTAAATGTACATTGGAAGTAATCCAGGATTCCATTTGTTGGAAAGACTGAAGAGAGTAATCTTAGAAATGAACACAAAGACTATTAATTGCATAGTGAGGTAACAAGAAATTATTTCCCAGGCATATTTCTCAAGGAGTTATAAATGAACTCTTTTCTATTCAATTTTAGTGTGCTAAACTTCTTCTGTTTTAATAGAGTATTTTGTGCAGCAAGACCAAAGAAAATTTAAAATGTTGTGTTCGAGTGCCCTCAAAGAGATCTTGTATTTTAGGAGTTTTGTCCAACCAACATGACTTTTGCTTTAATCAGCTCTGTGATGGGTAAGAAAAAATTAAACTATCCTCTTGACCAGTGAGGTGTGAAACTAAAAAACTTAACTTGTTTGCTCAAATTATCCTCGCTGCTCTTCAATCAGTTTGCTATTTCTAACTTTGAGTTGGAATTGTCTCCATGATATTTGTCATTATTCAATTTGGCCATTTTGATTACTTTAGTTTTGAGTTTTAGGGCACTCATGAAAGAGTGAGTTGCTAGTATTTGGATCCTCATGTTGTGTGTAAAGGTTTCTGGGATTACCTGGGGGCAAACATTGCAATGTTGACCTTAATATTTGATTCAAGGGTGATGTGTAGGGAGAAATTAGATGTTAGTCACTCTTAGAAGTCAAAGGGTTAAACAAAGACTTGTTGAATTGAAGGTAACAATAGCAGTGAGAAGCCAGATTAGTTAAAGCATTGTCGGCTGTTCTGTACCTTTAGTGATAGCTGCTGTCAGAGTTGTCTTTCCATGATCCACATGACCTATTGTTCCAATGTTCACATGTGGCTTGTCCCTTGAAAAGGATTCCTTTTTAGCTGGGGCTGCATAGTTTCTTACTTGAAACACTAAAAGAAACCAGAAGAGTTTTGAGTCAAAAGAGCTTAAGATATAAAAAGAATTAATTCATAATTGCTTAGCTTACTCTACAACAAAATAATCCAAGAACTAAGTAGACCAACAAAAATTCTTACCTGCACTTCTCCTTCCAGACTGTAAAAGTAGCACATTCTGAAAAAAAGTCAATAATTCTAGTTCACCTTTCTGGCGGATAATGTTTTCCTGTAATAAAACCCTAAACATACACAGTAGCTCAAAATCTGTGGTCAGAAACAGTCAAATTGATCTTAATCAGTGAATCAATTTCTGTTACTTAACCCTTCACTCCCACGATCTTCTTAGGAATTCTCCTTACAGTCTGCCATACAATTCTTATCATGTAAGTTTGGAGAATTTCATATTGGATCAACTAAAAATACCCCTATTGATAGTTTTCTTTATTCTCAACACTCTTCTGCTTGATATTGTTTTGATATTGTAAGGAGAAATTCTGTGTTGGTCACTGGTGGGTCGTGGGAGTTAAAGGGTTAACTTGCATCCACTAATTTTTGCCAATCGATAATCACACAAAAGGGGTCAGGAATACTGGAGCTGCCTGACATTGAAAGTCATCATGTCAGCTGGCATAAAAAAAAAAAAAAGGTAGCAAGTGCTTATTTCACCCGAGTAAAGTAGTTAAGAACGAGAATCGGAAATTTTGTAGGATGACACAAAAAAACAACCAGATGATGACAATCAATGCCCACTGATTGATTGGTGAGCATTGATTAAAAGGTAAATTGAATAATAAATAACCCTTGAACAAGCCAAAGGATTTCAAATTCCACAGAGAACAATTTTTTAGTTCTGTGCCCAGAAACCATGGGAACCCAACTGTAACTATTTTTCTGAATAATTTCATGGGAAACTGTTTCTTGGTTCCATTATTTTGAGAGCTCAGTAACAACACAGTACCTAAAACGATCATTGATGTGAAATCCTTGATGAACACTAAACTGTTTTGTGCAATTGTTTATTAATTTTTTACCATCAAATGACTAATCAATAATTACTGACATTATCTTTCAATGTTAGCAATCATGATTTCCTTTTTTAATATTCTTCAGGCCCTGCTGTACAAAAGTGCATGGTGCATTTGCTCATGCACCAATCAGTGTGAATCATAAGGGAGGGAGCCCCTGTCATATGTGGTGCACTAGACTATTCAGAAGAATTTTTGGTGATAATCTCCATGGTCATGCCCAAAAGAGGTTTAAAATCTTATCCAATTCTACCACCTTGATAAAAATATCCCTAAAAGCAACAGGTTTGTAGAGTTAAGCTTATAAAATATTGATACTAATAACCAAGTCCTGAGAATTTTCTTGCATATTTTCCAAGGTGGCCACAGAGAGCACATGCGAGGATGTGTTTGGTCACATTTTTCCAAACAAAAAATCAAGCATCACCATCCAGAGGCCCAGATTTTAAGTCAAATTCAGGAAGGTGAGGACGGCAATAGAACTCGTATGCCCGCATATACCTGGGGTCTCCCCTTTGTGCTTAACGGTGACAGGTGCATAATTAAACAAATCTAGTTAATAAAGGTACTTGTAATTCAACTAAACCAAAACTTCTTGGGTCGAAACTGAAGTCTGCGATGGTAATAATCATGCTCAGTTTTTTTTTATTGCTCCCTGTCCATCCCCAGAGCTTACGATGTAGAATAACGTGCTCCAAACAAAGTAGAAAGCTTATGTAACTTACACGATTCACTAACGCTATGCACTTACATTGTGACCGGAATTAAGGTAGAGAGACTTCGCGTTTCTTATGACTTCCTTAAGAGCTGAAATGTTTAAAGTACCATTAGTACCTAGTCGACCCTCAGATAAACCTTCCCAAAGTCACTTTGGAATTAAATATTATGGATGATGAATATCGAACCGCATGAAAACCAGAGAGCTTTAATGATTAGCTTTAGAGAAAAATCGCATCAAAAAATCTTACCTTTCTGACACCCAAGTCCTCTTAATGACATCGAAAACATATTTAATGGTCTGTGAGATCGTAAGAACTTTATATTTTTGCAGATTTATGCCTGATTTCAGACAACCTACTCACTTTTCGGCATCACACGAACCATCACACGTTGTTGGGATACATGAGCCCGCGATAGAAGTCAGTAGCGTTTTGCACAATAATCAACTGATTACGTTGTGTAGCACTACTCCCTTCTTCAATGTCTTCAAGGTGGCACGAATCCAAAATGAAGATAAACTTCGTGTGCTTATCTCAGTTCGTGTTTTATTAGTTGAAAGAGTCTATCTTTTCATTAAATAGCTCAATTTACACTATTTTCATGATCATGAATATCATTTGTTAAGTTGATAACGTCTGTAGAAGAATTTAATTTATATCCAAATTTAACTATATACTAAAATAGTTCAGCTAATAAATGCACATAACTCAGAACGCATTTACCATGTAGGTAAAGCTGATGGAAAAACTGAGCATAGTATCTTTAAAAGTGACCTGAACTGTGTCACAACATTGAATGTCGTGACCCGTGACAAAGTGTGATATCTCGTGACATGTGTTCAGTCATAAATTGTTTATTATTGTCTCGTTAAAACCACTTCAGAAACTCCTAAATTCACTATTGCTGCTGACTGACTTTTCTAAGATTTTTTTTGTAAAGTTTGGATAAATAATTCCACGCTGTCAGCATATATTTTCATCCATGGGGCGTTGTATTTCCCCTCTTTCCTTCTATGTCTACCATAAGGGAGGGAGAGGGTGGAAAATCAATTCCGGAAACTGCCTGTGCGTTGAATCAGGAAAATAAAAGTTCACTCCAGCACAGTTCACTTCATCTCTTTTTCCAATGCCTGGCGGCAAATCTAATTCAGCGGGTGAAAACATTGTGATAAAATGTTTGGCACCTTCTTTGACGAGAACAGGCTCTGCAAAGAAAATGTCGAAACCGGGTAAACCTTCCGTCCCGCCAAACTCCACCTTGTAGCTTCCTTGCACGCAACTAACACAGGTGCGATTGTTGTCCAACAGTTTTGTGATCACTACATAGTCATCGTTCAAATTGCGTCCACTCAAAATGATACGTACTCCTCTTATACACACAGACTGATCTGCGTAAAAACAAACACTGTTTGTACTTTCGTAAGGAGCGCAAAGACGGGGGAGCTCGTCCACGAACAAGCGGCGACAACGGAGAGGTTGAATCCGTTGCCTCGGACGACTGCCTTTATTTGGACGCAGGGAAAAGAAATCTTGATTTGATATAGCGGGAACGAAATCAAGATTCGCAAGCTCCTGCGTAAACTGCGAATCATTAAGGTCAAGAACACCAGTAGCTAAACAATGATTGATTAAATCGTTATCGTCTATAAACTCCAAACGGATGTGAGACAACACCTTAGCCCCAAGGAACTTCTTTATGTTCTCTGATCTCGGTACCAGTGAGTGTAGTTTACACTGCTCTTTTGCCCAAGACAAAATTGCTCGAAGTAACTCGGACTCTTCAATATATAAAGACTTACGCTTTACTAACGCTTCAACAATGCCTTGAGTTTTTGAGAGGAACCCTTTGGAACGAAGGCATTGGCGTGTTTGAAGATCCACAATACTCCAACATCTTTTCTGCAGTTTTTCGGTGTCACGAAAAAACTCGCATTGTTTTAAAATCTCCCACGTGTTTTCGGCGTTGATTTCGTTCCTCAAGAATTTCGCGCATTCGTCGAGAAACGCTGGAACCATGTACTTCTCAGATAAGTACATGACACGGAGCACGCAGCTTGCTGTTAAATTGGTTTCGTCGGAGTACATGAAGCGAAGAAGTTCTAACAAACTCTCTGGGTCTGCATCCACAAGCTCGATCGAATCGCTCTTCTCGGAAAAATCCCCGTAGAACATTTTATAGAAAACGGGACTTCCAATGGACAGAACATACTTGTGTGCGGGGATTGATATTTTCCTCTGCGATTCGTTATCCCGAACGATGAAATTTACGTCGCTCATTAGAGAATTATTGAACATTCGCCTATTCCTTTCTGCCAGGCTGGATGGAAGAGTGTTCAAATCAGGCCATTCAAACATCGTGATGGAATAAAAATTACTTACTTAACAAAAAAAAATCTGTTTGGCTCGAACGATCCCTTAGCTAGAAGTTATGATACTTCCTCTGCAATCAATGTAAACAACTTTTATAGTAAGCACGCATGCAGCAGAACATTCTTTCGTGATCTTTTGATTTCGGCTTGTTCATTTCGTCACGCACATTTCCATGACGTCCTCGCGGGCATGTCACTCAACAACTTGTGATGGACTTCCGGTCACAATTCCAAAACGTGACTATCTGAAGTTTCCAGCCATTTTTGATTGGATGAAAAATTCACACAAACTATAATCACGACTTAACTACGTGACATAATTATTAAGTTTAAAAGGGTTCAGACTGTCCGCCCATTCAAGATTCTGCAAAACACGAATTTGATAAGAAACACATGATAATTGTTGAGAAAAAAATTAACAGCTAAAAAATATATGATCTTGTGACACTTTGAGTTACTGTGCTAATTAAGACACGGACATGAGCGTACATTGAATGTTATAATCAGTAACGGAAAAGGGTCACACCACTTGTTACTGAAGTCATGTATATTTACGTCGCCAAAAGGAAAATAACAATTCAGAGGGGCCTTTAAACGGAAATACAACATTCTAGATTTTGTGCGAAAAAAAATTGGTCAATCTGGTTAGGGCTGAGATATTTTAACAATTTTAATTAATGATACCTTCTGGAAAACAAATATCAACAAACAACTGAAAGAAGATGATAAAATCGTCAATTTTAAAGGGCTAGGGCACATTTTGAAATCATGTTGGTAAGTGCCTTTTTGATATTCCTACTAAGATAATTAGAAAGTTGAGGATCATTCTCCCTTACAAAGTTGTCTTTGAGGTTCGAAACTTTAGCATAACATACAAATATGATAATTTACGACGATATTTTGTGTATTCAAGAAGAAACTGCACATTAAATTTTTAAACATAATATGAATTTATATTCGTTGTTCGGGAATTGATGTTCGATTTCGCCTCGCTGCTAATTAATCTAGTGCGCACTGATTGGTCGAAAACCTATCATTTCTCAGGTATTCAGGTTGATTTGTTAAATAAATCTCCCTCCACTGTTAGCTTTCGGCCTTCTTTACGTTGGTCACAAAAGTAAATGTTCAGATAAATGGTTCGGCTGAAATAATAATGGTTAAGGTGGTTATGCAAATCAAACGACGGCTAAATTTTGTTTAAATAACCGACACTTCATTTTACTCTATAAAAGGAATAGACGGCACTTTCTATCAGTTTACCAGGGTAATAACCCACGCAGAATGTTGGGAGAACACTTGTAAAGTTTATAAATCACTCGTCTCCAGTTCGTGATTCACGAACTTTTTGCGTGGGCTATCACGCCAGTAAACCGGAAGAAAGTGCGGTCTATTGCGTCAATAACAAGAATGATAATCAACTGACAGATCCGCCTTCGAGACTTTTTCACGGAATGGGGAAAACGCGGCTTGAGAAAATAAGATTCCTTTTTACCGGATGAAAAACTTTCATCAATTAACGTAAGATTATAATAGGCAGTCGGAGTCCATTGTAGGTCCGTATAGCGTCCGTATTCGTGAGTTAGTGACTAGGCTTCACTCCTGTACGCGTCTGCATTGACTTTTATTAACCATTAAATCTCATGCTTACACGAGTGGACGTGGGACGCAAGATTTTTCAGGAGGGGCTCCTCCTCATCCTACACCGACTCCATTTTGATCAAGGGCGTAAAATAATTTCATCACTTTCCGGCGGATCTCTTAATTTCATTAAAAATAAGTCCTAACCAGGATTACAGTATCGTGTTAAGTTCCAGTTGCGGAAAAATCATGCAATCATGTATCAGTTAAATAGGCAACACCATAATCAATTGCAGCGACCGAGGTAAAAGTTCTTTCCATACCTTATTACTTCTTTAGCCAAACTTTTTTTGCAAGACTGTTGCTCCGCGAGCTCATCGAAATGTCACTCTACACAACCGTGTTTAGCTTGCACGCAATGTTTTTGTCATGCACCTTGTACCTATTCCCAAGTTAATCTCAATGAATGAAGTTATTATTGACTATCATTGACTATCAGTCATGTCCCAACAAGTCCTTGGACAGCAAGGTTACTAAGTAAGAGCTTTCCAAGGCCTCCGCGTGAAATTTAAGGCGCAATGCTCTGATTTCATTTTTAAATTTTGCAATATAAAACCAAATGCGTTTAAAAAGTACGTTTAATCCATTTTACAGAGATGATTACAGTAACAAGGACATTCAAATTCTGGACGGCATCACGGACAGAACTTAAAAGCTGCGCTGTCCAGAGCCGTTTTTATCTCTGAACCAGGGCCCATCTGTAGGATGCGTTATACCTTAAACTGCCAGAGGTGATGTAAATCGACAAACAGATCTAACAGCAAAATTTCTTAATTATCTTGAGGGGAATATCTTACTTTTAGAGAGGAGAATTACAGTTTATTTTTGGAGTTGGAGGGTCAAATAGAAAGGGATAATCTCTAGATTCACGAAACGATAATTAAGTAGATACAAAGATACTTGACAACATAAAACAATAAAAAACTTTCTCTAGAAAACAAATATAAGGAAATAAAAAAAACGGAGGGTTTTAAACTTTCTCCCACTGAACACATTTTCGATAAGTTAATTCTGTACAACAGAAGCTATAACAGGCAATAGCGTAAAAATATATCGAGAACAATCTATCTAGTAAATATTAATGAATGCTTTGACTTTTAAAATTATCAACACTATGCATTTTAGAGCCACCTCATGAAAAAAAATCAAGGTTGCTCTGAACTTTGAACACCATTTTTTTTTTAAACTTGCAAAAGATGATTCTTGATAAGTAGAGTTTGAGCGTGTAAATAAATTAACTCAGCTAAAAATTAACAATATCAAAACATATCCATGTGAAGTTCAACATTTTGAGAATGTCAACTGCTCGGGTCTTCTCCAAAGTCGCAAGTTTCTGCTGTTCACGTTTTCCGCCTCAGAGTCATCCTCAAATAACGGGTTACACACGACAGCCTTGTTCTTTCTCAATACTTCTTCAGCTGGTTCATACATGGGATTGTCTCGCGCAAAGGCTACTGCATTACCTGAAAGCCTGATCTCGGTCACCCTGGAAACGAGATCGACGTTTAACGGACCATCGACGGCCGTTTCCATGGCAGCATCGAATTCTGGGTCGGCGATGTACGCCGGATTTTCAAAAGTGTTTTTACTTTGCTGCATCATTTCTCTAAAAGTTGAGCTCACTTCCGGTTTCTGTCGTCTGTTCGGGTATTCCACGCGCGCACTGTTCGATCTGTATTTTCGTCGCTTTTTCCTTCTCCAGACGATGATTATGACGACAATAATCACGCAGAGGAATACAACGCAGCCGATTAAAGAGAACAGTCCTGCACGACTAAGTCTCGTAAGCTTACCACCCTCTCCAGGATCTGCATTTACGACGATGACTTCTTGGCAAGTTTTCCCTGAGTACTTTGGTGGACACACACACGCAAAGTCTTCACCTCTAAGAGGATACCACGTTCCGCCATGAAAACAAGGGTTTGGTTTACAGTTTTCCCAGTTTAAGTCACAGTTTTCCCCAGTCCTCGGATATACACATGGAGTGCAATTCTGTCCGCTGTAACCTGGTGCACAGCCTGAGCAGTTTCCTCCCCAGGGCTCCTCGCATCGACATGAAAACTTCGACGGATCTTCCGCATATGAGATACACGTTCCGTTATGAAGGCAGATATTCGGGTTTTCCCGACATATACTATCGTCTGTATCGCAATTCACACCAATAAACGGGTCTTTACAAAGACAAATATAGCCGTTCACTTTGTCTACGCATGTGCCGCCGTGAAGACAGCTGGCAGACTCGCAGTCGTTAATGTTAGTTTCGCAAAGCCTGCCGCTATAACCTGGCTTACAGTCACATTGAAAATCGTTGACTAAATCCTCACAGTTCTGTGTTCCATCAACACTGCAAGGATCAGGGCGGCATTCGTTGATTTTCACATCACATTTTGGAGGCGACCATCCGGGTCTACAGTCACACGAGTAATTCTTCCAGCCGCCAAAACCATCCCGACAATCACCGATAGTGTTTCCAGAATGGCATGGGTCAGGATCACAATAGTTGATATCACTGCAGCGGAAGCCATCCCCACTAAAACCGAGTTTGCACGCACACGAGGCTCGGCCCGGGCCTGCTCGGCTACAGATGGCGTAAGGACTGCAATAGCTCTTGTTCAGTGCGCACAAATCTACTTCTTCCACAGTGATGGTTATTATGTTAACGGCACTTAGTCCTCCACGATCAGTTGCACGCACCTTGAGTAGGTATTGGTCACGCGACCATGCATTTAGCTGGCTTGCCACCACAAGGTCTTGTCCGCGGACCTCAAAGTCTCCAATGATTTCGTTTTGCTCTCCTTCGATTGTAATAGAAAACGAAGTGTCGTTCACATCTTGGTCTTTCACGACGAATCTTCCAAGGGCATTTCCGATTCCTGAACTTTCTAATACACTCACTTCCGTCTTTCCGTCAAGCGTAACACTACTGGGCGGTTCGTTGACGTCGGTAATCGTAATATCGAACATTTTAACAAATTTCAGATCGGTGAATATCTCCACTGTTGTCAACTGGACTGTAATGAGCGGCGTGGCCTCGTGATCGAGCGGAACACGTGACACGACGATGTGATTACCGATCAGACGAAACGGTATACCATGTGATGTCAATTCATACAAGTAACCCGTCCGGGTAAAGTCAGCATCCACGACAGTAAAATTACACACTACATCACCGTTACTTGCGTTTTCAGGGATCGTCAGCGAAGAGAATAAAATATCAGTTGGCGCTTCGGGAACGTCTATTACAAACACAACCAACGGATTCACCGTGGACATCTTAGGAACACCGTCATCTGAGCATTTGACAAAAAGGGAGTAGTTAGCTCGGGTTTCGTAATCGAGCCGTTCACGAACTAACAATGAATTTGTACCGGGCTGTATCATGAATTCCGAAGGCACTGAGTTCCTATCACTTGAACGTTTTCTTCTCTTTTTCGGAGGCTCGTGTACATCGACAGTGACGAAAAGCTTGGCTTCAGCCTCGCTGACAAGTTCACACGTGTGCGTCTGAGGCCGCAAAGGACTGTTAGTATTATCTTCGTCAACGACTCTGACGTAAGCCACAATTGTGATGCCGACATGGGCCGTTTCGTTAACAGTCGCGATAGCCTGGCTTACTAGCTTGATATCTGAAACATTGACCGGTGGATTCGGGCTCAAAATAGTATCGCCTGGTGAATTGGTAAATATTACATTGGAGGGAGGGTCGTTCGCGTCTAAAACTTGAATAACAAATGCCTTCTCGTATGATAATCCGCCACTGTCGCTGCACAAGAGTGTGATATTATGCCATGTGTGTTTCTCGTAATTCACTTCTAAACCGTTTCCAGTGAGAAATAAAACGATTCTGGACACATTCATTTTGACACCAAATCTACCGGAAGCGTCCTCACGAAGCCGACATTGAAACCTCTGGGGAAAGATATCAGGGTCTTGTACGGTCACTGTTCCTACTTCTGTCCCGATCGGAGAATTCTCTTTCACACTAGCCGGGAAAAGCTGAATATCGTACGGTGGTTCATTCACATCGACAATGGCAAGCGACAAAGTCACTACTTTAGAAAGTCGCGAATGAATTCCATTATCTGTAGTCGTTATAGTAATATTTACATGACGGTGCAGCTCATAGTTAAGAGCACTGCTGTCTGCTACGTAAAGCTTGTTTGAGCCTCCGAGAGACAAAACTCCGCTGGGAGTCTGGGCTTGAATGAGGTAAGTGTGCGTCTGGCCACGATCTTCGTCCAGTGTGCTTAACTCTCCAATCAGTGAACCAACCTGGAGACGATAAAATACAGCTAGTTGATCTTAAATTTCTAGCTATATGAGTCGAGAGTTGATACGATGGAAATCGTAGGGTCCTTTGATTGACGAGCCTCTCCAAACTCACGGTTAATAACACTTCTGACACAACGGAGGAGGGCAGACCTGAGAACGGGACTGTTGTCAGTCGTGGTGATGGACGTTTCAAAAAAAGACGATGACTTGCGCTAAGGATGTCGAAACGTCAGTCACCACTACTGACAACAGTCCCTCTTAGGATTAGCCTCACCTGGATCGAAGAGGTATTTCCTTCACCACCCTTCCCAACACCATTTACCTCTTTTCGCTCCACGCCCTCTCGGCTCACGCTTGATTAGTAAAGAAAAGTTGTCAAGCTAAACAATCCCTAAAATTGTGACTCACCTTAGTATTTTCTGCGATAGCTGTCCCTTGTGGTAGCACTATTCCTGTCGGTGCGTCATTGACATCGAGAACACTAACCACCACCTCAGTCGTCAAGCTTTGGTTACCGCTATCAGTGGAGGTTATGTTCACAAAGAAAACGTTTTGTTCTTCGTAATTAAACCTCTGGCGAGTTTCCAGCCGGTCGTGCACATTACTGAACAATTCAACAGGTGTAACACAGTAGGTGTAGTTTTGACCTCTATCTTCGTCGAGCGTACGAAGAACAGAGACCAGAGATCCTGGGTTCAAATTTTCCGCGACCTAACGAATTAAGAGAGCTGATCAAACTGATGATAAGTGATGTGAGGAAACAAAATAACAAAAAATTCTGAGAACTGCTAGCATTGATGGAATAGAAAATCGCAGGAAATTCAAGGGACGAAATTTAACGAAATTCGGAGTACAAGCCCTTTCGTAAGCTTTTTTCCCTGTTAATCAATACACATAAGAAACTTTGTGTCAATCGGTGCCACGCAATTAAACGAACTGACAGAGCGATATTACAAAAAATAATCATCATAGCTTTTCGCTTGACAAGTTTCTAGTGTCAGCGTAAAATAGACGAACACGACAAGGCCCTTGCCAAAAACATGCTTAGTGTCCAGCTGAGGGTGTTTCGGCACGCCCGCGATCCTCTCCGTAGAGAAAGCGAATCGCATACTGGATACTGAGCACATGTTCAAAAACGACAAGGCAGTTGCTGTAAAAACGCAAACATTTTCAAAGACAAAACTTACTACTGTAGATCCCTTGACAGAGTAACTTCTCAAGGCAGCTGTTATTTTTAAGGGATATTTTACTCCATCAAGTTTTCTTTGACAAGTTCTTTGACAATTTCTAAATGCTAAAATATAAATAGCGAAGAAATTTTTCGGCGACAACATCCACTGTCTTAGAATTCTCTCCTTAAGGAAAGAGGAACGATGTGTTACTAAAGAATGTAGCTGTACAACTACCTCAAACTTCCCACTAGATGACTCTATTCTGACCGGTGGCTCATCGACGTCAGTCACTGCTATAATAAACTGCTGCTGAGTTGCATCACCGTCCTGGTCCTGACATTCAATATCCACCAAATGATCCGGACCATCCGGGGCTTCAAAGTTTAACATCCGGGATTCCAGTACAGTCAATGCCATACCGCTGACCTTAAACCTACCATCGGCATCGTTTCGCAAACCACAAGTGATCTTTTGTGGTACAAACGCTTCATCTGGGTCGGTGACATTGATTATCCCAACTACAGTCCCGTGGGGTGAATTTTCAGCAATCGCTCGATTGCTTAGTGTTATGAGCGAGGGAGCCTCGTTTACATTCGTGACGTAGATGGTGAAGCTCTGATTGACAGCAAAGGAGTTGTTGACGTCTTTCGCTTGCAGGGTAACCTGATGGAACTGAGCTGTTTCGAAGTCAAGGGGATGGCGAGTCATAAGCTTCCAGGTATATGGGGCGCTTGTGGAACGAAGCTAAAGAAAAGTAAGTAAAGATGGTCAATGAGTAGTTCTTGAGACGCAAAAAATCCTATTACATTTTGCGACAGAACGCACAACTCGAAAATCTGTTTCATCCACGTACCTCAAAAGCAGACCTCAGGTCATCGAGAAGCTTAACGGATAGGGGGCTCAGCTGAGGGTCCTTCACGGTGATCACACCTACCAATGTACCCACCAACCGGTTCTCTGCCACCGAGTTATGGTGAAGTACTAAGTGTTCTGGGCCTTCATACACGTCAATAAGCTACGAGTATGCAAAAAAAAAATAAGTAAAAATCACTATAAACACACTTCTGAACACCTTTCACAATTTAATCGATCAAATTTTATAGAGAATGTCTTACTTGGATATGAAACACTTTAAAATTCGTTGCTCCTCCACTGCCATACACACGGATGATGACATCGTACCCACTCTCCGTCTCATAATCCAGCGGCCGCGTTGTTACCAGATCCCTAGAATTCACCGATGTACCGCTGACCAACGCAAACGTTCCGTTGGCGTCATCATCTAACTGAAACACTAAGGAATCGCTTGGATCTAAAGCCTTTGCCGTAACACGCCCCACTACGGTACCAGCGGGCTCATTTTCTTTCACCTTTGTAGAAGCTAGCGAGATATTTATCTGTCTTGATAAATGGTTGTTCCTTACTTCGATGAACAACGTCGTTGGGAAGCTGATGTCTGTAGCATCACTACAAAACACATGGATAGGCTGGCGAGACGACGTTGCATTGGTTAGCGGTTTTCTCACAAAAAGCTGAATCCCGGACACCCGGAATAAGCTGTCGGGGTCCAAAAGATAACATCTGTGGGAATCACTTTGATCTTCATCAACGACAATAAACGACCCGACCAGACTGCCTATTGATGCATTAGAGCTGACAATATGGTGTGATAAGGACACGGAACTTGGAGCGTCATTAGCATCCAAGACGCTAATATTATAACTCTTTTCGATAGCAAGTCCTCCCCTGTCTCTACATCTAATTTCGACACCAATGAGATGTGAACTATCTAGCGCCTCGAAGTTGATATCCCCCTTGACCAGGACAGCACCATTTTCAATTCTAAACACACTATCACTAAAGATATCGCAAGTAACTGTATCACCCCTATCAGGGTCTATCACAGTGATGTCTCCTATGCGATACCCAATCTTAAGATTCTCTTCTACGCATATGCCGGCTGAAGAGACGCAAGGTTTTCTCGGGTGGAAAACAATGTCTGTCGGCGGTTCGTTCTTGTCAAGGACTACAATATTCAAAGTTTGCTCGAATGACAGTCCTGCTCCATCGGTAGTTTTTACGAGAACTGACAGAGGATTTACTATTGCTGTTTCGAAATCAATATCAACGGCAATTTTGAGAGTTTTTTCTTCAACCGAGAAGACACTGTTGGGATTGGTAACTAGATCAAATGTGTGATTATCGTGAAGATCCGGATCCCGCGCGCTCAAAGAGCCAACCACTGTGCCCAGTGGCGCATGCTCGAGGAAGGAATCCGCAGACAACAAAATACCGCTTGGATTTTCGTTCACATCAAGCAAACGTATCTGAATGGATGATATCACACTTTCACCAAAAGGATCTGTCGAGCTCACTTTTAACGTCACAAGGTCACGTGTCTCGTAGTTCAGTTCGTCTACCCAAGCCACTACTAGAGTGGAGCCGTTTATAGAGAACGGACTGCTGGGGCTAACGATTTTATAAATGTGCGACTGCCAAAGGTCTTCGTCCACTGTTGAGAAGTTGCCAACCACCGAACCGTTTTGTGTTCCCCCAGGGGTACGTTCATTAAACTCGGGGATCGAGTTACCCGTAAATAGAAGCTTAGTTGGGGGGTCGTTACAGTCAATCACTGTAATGTTGAAGACCGAAACACTCACAAGTCGTGGAGAACCGCTATCTTTAGCCTCGACTGTCACAATGAAACTATCGGTGTGTTCGTAATTCAGTTCTGAGTGGAGACGCAGTTCGTTACGGAGAAGACGAAACCTGTCACCAGCATTAGTGAGTAGAGAATAGCTGATCTCTTGGCCGGAGTCAACATCTGAAGAATTCACTACACCGATTACAGCTCCAATAGAGGCATTCTCAAACACAAATGATGATGATAATGTTGGGGCACCTACAGAACAAAAGAAAACGATATATAAATGTGTCAGTAACATCCTTCCGTCTCTAAATAGTCAATTTTTCCAAAGGTCTCAAAGACATCATTTTCAGATACAATCTACATCGTTTACTTCGCAGCCGTTTTTTTTCACGACGAAACAAAACGTGTTTTCTAATGGGGGAACTGAAAAATGCACTGCGTGAAGAATTCATAGCGCTCTCCATTTATCTGGTGCGGTGATATAAACAATTGCTTAGTTGCAGGTTTTTCAAAAATGGAAAGAAGAGGCCACCTTTCCGCGAGTACCCACGCGCGAGTTTCGCTGTCTCCAGTGTTAGTTTTGAGATTTCTCACACCATGGTCGGAAAATGTTTACCTTTTAAAATTCAAATGCAATTCCTGAGTAGTCCGGCTTGAAAAGCAACGAATAAGCCCAGTTAAAAACTGCGACATCGTTACCAAGGTCCTCTCTTCCTTTCTCGAGAGAGGAGGAGAGTGGACCCTGGAAACGAAGTCATGCTAACTCATACCTGGTCCTTAAAGAATCATGTAACAGTGCATTCAAATGCATCAAGCACCAGCGCACTTACTTGGTGGTTCATTAACATCTGTGATGTGCACAGTAAGGTTCTGTTGGACAGACAGTTGTGGTACTCCGCTGTCGGTAGACATCAGGCTCACCATGTACACTGACTGTCGCTCGTAGTCTACGTCACCAGTAAGGACCAAGGTGCCCGCATTATTATCAACAGTAAACACACCAGCGCCATCAATTAAAGTATAAGTAAAGAACTGCTTCTCGTCATTGTCAACTGTAGTAAGTCTTCCCACAACAGCATGAACAGGGGAGTTTTCTGGTATAAAACGCGATGATAGTAAGATTCCGAGAGGTGGGCTGTTGGAGCCTGGGAGCTGACTCACGCACTGGCCTGTGATGACGCTCCATTGGCCCGATGCTTGACACGTGATAAGGCTTGATCCAATCAGGAATCCCTTAGTGCAGGATAATGTACACATTTTACCAAACCTAACGGGATGTAAGGCAATATAATGTTCATTCAGTCGATACAAGTGGTTTACGCTTATTTTCCCTAACAGGCAACAGATCTACAATAATCACTGATACGAAACATCTGGAAACATTGAAACACGACAAAATGTTGAGAGAGGGGGTAGGGGGTAGATAAGGGTACCCTATCGATAAACTGGTGTAACCCCCCCCCCAAGGGATAGAGGCAAAACTCCCAATTGCTTAATGCTTATGAAAATGGGGTAAGCCCCTTGCTGGACGGGCCTTCTCGCTTATGAGCAGACTTTCTCCAAACTGTATTATCTGTTTTTTCCTCTTCTTTTTGTTTACCATAATTTTACCATTGATAGTTACTAAAGTTTGCACGACAGAGCGCTCTTCGTTTGACTATCGTAAAACCCAAAAGCAAAGAAATCACAACATTCAATGCCATAAAAGGCAAATGAACTCAATGTGAAAACAAGCAAACTGCCTAATGAGCGGAAAAATGAGGGAGAACAAGTCGCCATTGGTTTCAATTCTATCTCGTCGGTTGTGAAGGTGGCGCGGGTTTTCCGAAGCAATCCGGCGCATAGCAAGGTAAAGCCAATCCAATGCAATCGTGGATTCATTCCGACACTTGACTGAAAACTACCCTCTGTAGCCTGCCTAACATGGTTACTTAATAAAGAATAAGAAAGATGGAAAATTTTGTAAAGAATAAGAAAGATGGAGAGTTTTGAGCTTGGTAAAGAAATATAGAAAGATGTTTTTCGTCTTGTCACGAGCATGAGTCCCCATAAGGAATCATTCCTCAGACCTTCGGATTCCGCGCTCCGATGCTCTACCACTGAACCACAGAGACTCTTCGGTGAGCAAGGCCCATTACCAAGTTCATGTGTGACACGCGTCCTGCATACTGCTAGGATCGGCAATGTCGATAGCGTCATGTTTTGTAAATAGAATAAGAAAGATGGAAAGTTTTGAGCTCGGTAAAGTAATATAACCAAATGTTTTTCGTCTTGTCAAGAGCGTGGGAGAAAGAAAACAAACTTGTAAATTTAAAAAAAATGTAATTTCGGACGGTGTAGGCTCTTAAAAGTAACCTGCAATAAAAAAGGGAAGCTTTTTTTTAATCCAACCTGTATTGATCTGGAGTTCCATCACACTTTACCGAAATTCCTGCCATCCCATCTGGCTTGCCACAATCCAGTATGTCACATGTACGCCCATCAGCAGATAACGTATAGCCAGCATCACAGCCACACACGTAAGAACCAAAGGTGTTGATGCACTGGTGCTGACAGGAGTGGTTTGATTGGCTGCATTCATCCACATCTGAGCACGTCACGTGATCACTACTCAAGAGAAAGCCTGGGTTACAGTCACAGTAAAAACTACCTCGGGTGTTGATGCAGCGTTGTTTACACGAGTTTTGATTGGTTAAACACTCATTAACGTCATCACAGGTCTTGTTCACTGGATTATAGGTCACGCCTGAAGAGCATGAACATTTGTATGAACCTGGAGTGTTCTCACAAAGATCTGAAACAAAAATAAACGTGTTAAAACCTCGGATATAATTTTAAAGACTTCTCCCCTCTCCTGTGCAGTTTTAAAAATACTTTATCGTAAACATATATTCGATAATTAACGTTCCACTCTGATATAATTGTATTTTTCAATTTATCAGTGATAATCAGAAAAATGTCTCAGTTTACCTGGACACTGGTGGGTAAGAGTCTGACATTCATCTATGTCCAGGCAGGAGTGTTTATCTGCTGCCAGCAGGTACCCAGAGCGACAGGAACAGTAATATGAAGACGCTGTATTGTTACAGCTGAATTCACAGCCCCCGTGATTGATGCGACACTCATCGGCATCTAAAACAACAGTTATACAACAAATAAATATATCTCATTAACCAAGCGCGAGGGCCGTACTGGGAGAATATCGGCCCGAGGTCTTGACAGTACGGAAAGAGCGCAGCGAGGTCCGTACAAAAAAGACCGAGGGACGATATTCTTCCAGTACGGTCCCGAGCAAGCTTGGTTAATAAGAGATTTATTACACGACTGAAGTTCAAAGGGACACAAGTGCGGTATCATTCGGGACCATTCGGGTCAGTGCCCGGTCCAATACTGAGAGAATATTGACCGGTAATAGAGCATTTTGAGTCGTGTAATATAGCATATTATTATTAACAGTTAAGAAATACCAAGGTAATGCAAATACCACATAAAAAACGGATGATTTCAAATCAGAGTAACAAGCTATTTGTGCATGAACAGAAATGTGCTATTGATACGTTTAACAATTGGTTCATGCTATAGCGTGCGCTATCGAGTTATGGAGCACGCGGGAAGTTTGGCGAGCACAAAAGAAGCGTAAGAGTTGCTTGAGGCGATAGCCGAGGGCAACTCTAGCTTGAGTGCTCTCCAAACTTCCCACGTGCTCCATAACTCGATAGTGCACAGCTGAAAGCATGAACCAATTGTTTTAGAACATAGCCGGTGGAATTGTGCATCAAATCCGACGCGAAAAACGGACAACAATATCAGTTGAAGCGAATCGTGACGGCGCTG